TACATAGGAGCGGGGGGGTCTGACTGAGTTTAAAGAAGGAAAATAACATTTCTGGCAAGATCAACAGGTATTTTGTGTACTTGCTAAAAATGTAAAAATGCCCTTAGCCTGAAAATTAAAAACCAATGCAGCCATCATATCTCAGTGGTAAGCTGCAATACATTACATTTTTGTTCCTAGGTTTAGGTATCCTTTAAAATGCCCTCTGTACATCTTTGTATGGGTATTCCGTTCTAGGCAGCTGCAGATCTGCTTTCAGCACCATCTCTTTGACAATCACATCTCAGTTCAGTAAAGCACTGGCAGACCGCAGCAGAGATCTCACAAAGGTTCATTATGCTGGTCAGCTGACTGCTACATCATGGCAGATTACAATTTCCAGTGGTAATTCCCAAGAAGTGTGAACAGCTGCATTTCTTCAAACTAAAACGCTTGTCTGTCCCCAAGAAATTCAGGAGAAAGAACGGTCCATGAATTCATAGCTCCCAAATTTTCATTAATAGGTGGAGATGGCCTGAGTCACAGAACATGGTTTCATATTGGGAACATCTGATTGAGGAGGCTGATCTCCAACTTCAGAATCTCAAATAACAGCAAAAAAGGAAGAGGATAATGTTGTATGAAGGTTGTACGGATATTTTTTTTTTAATGCTTAAGGCCCCTTCCACATGGGCGGGATCTGTCCGCTGATCCAGGTGACAAGTCCATGTCCACTCATGTAGAGTGAACACAGACACAGTGTAAATGGACAGCCAATCCAATCCACTAGACGGATCCATCTGATCCTATCCGCTATACCAGGGGTCTCCAAGCTTTCTAAACAAGGGGCCAGTTTACTGTCCTTCAGACTTTAGGGGGGCCGGGCTCTGGCCATTGGGAATAGAAAAGGTCAGTATGTCAGTGGGTAAAAAAACAATGCCCCATCTTTGGTGTCATTGGGAGAAATTGTGCCCCATCTTTGGCGTCATTGGGAAGAATTGTGCCCTATTGATATCATTGGGAGGAATTGTGCCCCATCATTGGGGTCATTAGGAGGAATTGTTTCCCGTCATTGGTGTCACTGGGCCTCATCATTGGTGTCACTGGGAGAAATCGTGCCCCATCGTTGGTGTCATTGGGTGGAATTGTGCCCCTTCATTGGTTTCAGTGGGGGAAATTTTTGCCTCCCTGTCAGTACCAGTGGATGAAATAGTGCACTAAGGGCCAGATGAACGTAAGCAAAGGGCTGCATCTGGCCCCCAGGCCACAGTTTGGAGAACACTGTGCTAGATGGATGAGGAACAGATTACCATCCACCTCTCTTTAGTAGATCAGATTGCATACTGGCGAGTGTAAACTGACAAATGTTCGTTTACATCCGCTGCTCCAGAGAGCAGTGGATGGTCCAGTCAGGTCCACCTGAAAAAGGGACAGGCAATCGGTCTGCCCGTGTCAAAGGGATCTAAAGTGTATGTCAACTAAAAGTCAGCATTAAAAATAAATATTTGATCTACAACAAGGATCAAAGCTTACCTGCTCAGCAGTTCACTTTTTCATCCAGATGCTCCTATAACGCAGGCCACTCTATACGCTTTTGGCTGTAATCTGGTGATTCTGGAACACACCTGCGGGTGATGTTGGGACACCCTCCTTGCATACACCATACCTAAAGCTGGCGATTTAATCAACCCATTGAACTTTACATTTTCTGATTAAATCACAATGCAAAGGCATGAAATGTTGGATTTGGTTTTCAAATTACTGCAGGAAAATGAAATTAAAATGACCTCAGATCAAACATGGTGGAAAAATGTATGATCATTTAAGAAGCATTTTTTCTTCTCCAACTGCACGTTTGCTCATGAAAAAGTACTCTTGATTAATACCCGGTCTAGTTTTGCATTTACAATCAACTGAATTCTGGTGGTCAACAGAACTGGTGGGTAAAAATCTGCTTAGTCTATGGAAAGTACTTTTGATTGTATTTGCGATTTCCCAGTGGTTGGTTGAAATGACCTTAAAGTAAAGTGTTTTGAAAGTAAAGGAGAATCCCAAATTTTGAGTTGACACCAAAACAGTTTTAGAGGGGAAATCTTCCAATGAGGACACTAGTACTGTTGACCCTGGTGACAACCAGGGATTCCCTCACTGTAGAGGGATTTATTCTTGCTTTCTGTTTTAGGTATGGGAAAGGAAGTGAACTCTATCCAAAATGAAACAAAAGTTTGCCTTTAGTTCTACTTTAGAATTGTCACGTGTATGTTCAGCTTACAGCACTTACAGTCATTATTCAGATTCCAACCTGGCGTGGCAGTTTGAACGTGATTGGTTAATGTAGAAAAATACAGACAAAGTACAGCACAGGATCCAGGAACTACACATCCACTGACAGGTATTATTATTATTATTATTATACAGTATTTATAAAGCGCCAATAGTTCGCTCAGCGCTGTACATTACAAACGGGGACAGAACATGTGACAGAACAATACCAATACAATGCAAAACATGAGGGGATCGAGGGCCCTGCTCTTTCGAGCTTACAATCTAGGAGGGAGGGGATGGTGGCACAGGAGGAGATAGCTGTGGGGGATGGAGTGGTAGGAAGAGTGGAGGAGGTCGGCAAGTTAGCAGGGGGTGGGGTAGGCTTCCCTGAAGAGATGGGTTTTCAGGGAGAGGAGAGTAGGTGATAATCTGATGGGTTGGGGCAGGGAGAGTTCCAGAGGATGGGTGACACCCTGGAGAAGTCATGGAGGCGGGCATGGGAGGAGGAGACCAGGGAACTAGAGAGAAGGAGGTCTTGTGAGGAGCGGAGTGTGCGTGCTGGGCGGTACTTGGATATTAGGTCAGTGATGTAGTTCGGGGCAGTATGGTGGACAGCTTTGTACGTCAGTGTTAGGATTTTGAATTTGATCCGTTGTGCAATCGGAAGCCAGTGGAGGGATTGGCAGAGGGGGGTGGCGGAAATGGAGCGGTTGGAAAGGTGAATGAGTCTGGAAGCCGTATTCAGGATCGACTGAAGCGGGGATAGCCTGTGGCGAGGCAGGCCAGTGAGGAGGGAGTTGCAGTAGTCGAGTCGTGATATGATGAGGGAGCGGATGAGCTGTTTAGTAGTTTCTGGGGTTAGGAACGTGCGTATTTTGGCGATGTTGCGGAGGTGGAGTCTGCACGAGTTTGTTTCAGGTATGGAGCTGTGTGTGCTGGGGATGAAGTGGATTACAGACAACTCTGATTATGAGAAACTGAATAAACTTTCTCCTTTCAGTACAACTGCAGTATTTACTATTGTAAGTAGTTCAATGACTGTTTTCACCTTGCCTGGAATTGGGTCTTTATTGATCTTCACATTATACTTCTGTTTTAATTCAACAATACAGGCTAACCTTGAAGTCAGCCATGGTGGCCCATCTACCTAACTAAACAAATGAAGTCACATCTAGATACAACAGAGTGGGATCAAGGCTGACGTATCACAGTGGTTGTCCTTGTGAGGACTTCAAGATATAAATCCATTTGTACTTCATTAGCTTAAAAGCCCTCAAAGATAACTGTACAGAGGAGTATAAAGCACCTTAATAGAAATCTGGCATGCAACATATGTGCATTATTTATGTTTCAGCTGGCAAGAATATGAAAGCTAAAAGGGAAATTCTTTGCAATTTAACCTGATTGAGTTTTCTAGCACACTTACATTGTAAAGTAGGGTAAAGAAACAAGTAACATGGACAAATCCCGACAGCAAGGTAGCCCATATGCCCAACCACCTTTGAACTATTCAATGATAGCCAGTCTAAACACATTCTAACTGGTTGTCAGCAACGTGGTCCCAGCTCTCAGGCTAGGACTTGTGGTTAGGCTAATGCATGTACGCATGACCATAAGTATAAAAGACAGATTGCTCTATTGCCCGGACGTATGAGCACACAAACATGCGCGCACTGCTGACAGGAGGCCTATTCAAGCCAGAATCCTGCACTGGTCCTGTACTGTATGGTCTTCAGCCTTTTCCCCATGATCCAGTCTTTATGTGCATCCATAATCCTGCTCTGACCTTGCTCTTGGATCATCCACACATGCTCATGTCTGCTGTCTGCCTTCACTACCAACCCCAGCCTGAACTACTGACCATTCTTTTGCCCAGTGTCCCTGTACCTTGCTGCCCGATTGTTGCCGACCTCTTCCTGTTCTTGACTGATCCTGCGTACGTCCTGGTGAACGCCATCCACCAAACGTATTGTTATCACAGTCCATCACCAGCTGTACCTTTTCCAGCGCTCTGAAGTTCCTGCTCACAGCAGCCACACCTGGGCACTTGTGCTGGATTTTCCCCCTGTAGTCCCTGTCTCACTATCCAGAGTTGCTCAGATGGAACTGTGCAAGAGGCCACCCTCGTCATCTCAGGCTCCACATACAGGTATAGGACACTGGTTCTTTAGAGTAAACAGAACATTAAAAAAACTCAGAATGTGGAAGTGGAAAATGCATTATTTTTGTTTACAAAATTGTACCTGGGTGACCAGACAATTCCAGGAGCCACTACAGAGGTGCTGTTGGGTTCCAAGAGAGTGTCAGAGCTCTTTTCACTGGCTTTCCAAGGGCTCATTTACAAGTGCGTTGTCTATGAAAAGCAATCTGCAGTGGATTGCTTTTCACAGAACGGCAAGAGGGCGGCTGGCAAACATTCAGGAGGCAATATGGCTGTCTCCTGCATGAATATGTATATAAAAATAAATATTTTTTGACAGCCAAATTGGCTTTTTTTTTTTATACTGTAAATATTGCGCCTTAACAGTAAGCCTAGTGTTTGGCTTGAACTTGCAGAGCGGAGCCACTAATTTAACCACCAGCCTACAGAGCACTTATACCCCCTTCCTGCTCAGGCCAATTTTCAGCTTTCAGCGCTGTTGCAATTTGAATGACAATTGCGCGGTCATGCAACACTGTACCCATATGAAATTTTTATCATTTTTTTGTGACAGATAGAGCTTTATTTTGGTGGTATTTAATCACCTCTGGGTTTTTTATTTTTTTCTTAAACAAACCAAAAACCACTGAAAATTAAAAAAAAAAAAAAAAAGTTTTTTTTCTTAGTTTTTATTATAAAATTTTGTAAATAAGTGATTTTTCTCCTTCACACTGATGTGCGCTAATGAGGCTGCAGTGATGGGCACTGATAGGCTGCACTGATGGACACTGATAGGTGGCACTGATGGAAGGCACTGGTAGGTGGCACTGATGGGCATTGACAGGCATCACTGATGGGCACTGAAAGGCAGCACTCATATATGATACTTATAGGCGGCACTGACTGGCACTGTTAGGCGGCACTGATAGGCAGCACTGATGCACACTGATAGGCGGCACTGACTGGCACTGATAGGTGGCACTTAAAGGCAGCTCAGATGGGCACTGATATGTGGCATTGATGTGCACTGGTAGGCACTGAAATGTGGCATTGATGGGCACTGACAGGTGGCATGGATGAGCACTGACAGCTGGCACTGATGGACACTGACAGGTGGCACTGCTGGGGCTACACAGATCATCAGGGCACACTGATCATCAGTGCTCTGATGTTCAGTGTACATGTCCCCTCTGAGGGATGTCGATTACCGGCTCTTCTCTCCTCTTGAGCGGTCAGCGCGACAGCTCGTGAGGAGAGAAATGCCGATAACCGGCAATTCCCTAATTACATGAGATCAGCTGTGATTGGACACAGCTGATCACATGACCGAACCGACATCTTCGGCTCTTTCTGTTGATCGGTGATCCGCTGTGTCTGAGGGCCATAGCGCACCGCCGATCGCCGCGCGCCCCCGGAGCAGCGCATGCGCGGTTGAAATGGGGGAACATCATATGACGATCTCCCAGAACGAGAGAACCACCTTGCGCCCATCATTGTACTATATGGCGGGCGGAAGGCGGTTAAATATGTTGCATTAGGCGGCCTTACTGCCCACTGAATGCAACGGTGAGAGATAGCTTTATACCGTGCTGCAAAGAAAGCATCATGGCAGTGGCATGCGTATACCCCCCATTACTGCCTTTGCAGCTTAAGGATGGCCATAGATAAATAATTTTTTTGTTCAGACAGCAACACAATCAAGGTGAAAAGAGGAATCCTCTCCACTGAGACATTTGGGGGGGGGGTTACTAAAACTGGATCACTCAGAATCTGGTGCAGCTGTGCATGGTGGCCAATCAGGTTGTAACTTCAGCTTGTTCAATTCCATCTGTCAAGAGTTCAGCATCTGTAGAAAGCCATGGTATAACTCCTTCACACATTTGTCATGTACAACTCAACTTACAGCACAACCGCAGGGTGAGAAATGGAGCCTTGAGATGGAGATAAAGAAATGTTAGCCTCGAGGGCAAGAACAGGAAATGCTCCATCTTAGACAGCACATGAAGAGCACACCAAGCCCCACGCACATCAAGATAAATGATCCTCATTTTGTTTACAAGCACAAGAAAATTTTTTCTTTTTAAAGTGAGCAGGCTACATGTTTATGAATTCTGAGCAAAGAAAACCGCATTAAAAAAATAGGATGGCTAACATAGCAAGCATGTCTCCAGGGCAAGGATCAACCAAGTACAATTTTTTCCATTGACAAGGCAAAGTGGTAACAACTATAAGAAAGGAATCCAGAGCCAAACTGAAGAGCAGAATTTGTCTGCAATTCTAGACAGAAAAAAAAGAAAGCAATCAGTGAGATGTTGATGCTACTTTGCAAACACTGCAGCTGTGCTAAAACAAAGTCAATTCAAATTATATTGAAGGAGACAAAAACCTTGGAAGCTGTGCCAAAAAAAACAAAACAAAAAAAGCTAAAGGACTAGTGACCAGTATTGTCTGCGATCTCCCTGCAGTTGATCATTCCTCAATAGAGACTTAGTAATTCTCCCTTGACAGCCAGCTTGGATCAGGGCATTGCTTCCACATGTCAGAGCTGCTGATGACTAGTGATCAGGTGATGCATGAATGCATAAATCAAGGACCTGCAGGAGGTCAGCAGGGACCACAGATCCACAGTATGAATGAAGCAGAAGCAGGGAGATTCTTGCAGTGAAGGTCCTTAGGTACAGCTCCCTCTCCAGCATGGAGAACAGAGAGCATCTCAGTAATAACATCATCAGAAATCACTACACATCTCATGAGACTAGCAGTGACAGGTAGCAGTGCCTTGGATCTTACATTGCAGACATACAGCTACGAGGGTGTAAGTACAAGAGGCAGCTTTAAATATGAACATGGTGAATTAACTTGGGTCAGTTTAGAAACTGATCCTTAAAAACATCAGGCTACAAGTTTGCTGAACAGGAGTCCCGACTTAAAGTGACATTAAACAATATAATTGTTCTTGCTGTGCTTTTCTGCCTCCTTTAACATCCTCCATGAGCTCCTGAACCTCTGCTTTTTCTTCTCACTTTCTTTTGTTTTGAATGAGTAGTGCACATAAGTTGTGGTCAGGTGCGGACTGACAATCGTCATGGGGCCCCCGGGCAATAGGGGTTCATGGGGCCCCTGTGTCCTTGCCCACACTCAAAAAAGCCTATAAAAAAAGGTACCAGGGGCATTTCATGGGGCCCCCTACTGACCCTGGGCCCTCGGGCAGTGCCCGAGTGCTCGAATGGTCAGTCCGCCCCTGGTTGTGGTCATGTGTACTGCTCTATGCACACAACAAATCCCATAGTACTTAGTCTATCTCAGGAAGGAGCACGAGAGGGTAGCTATGTCCTTATGTACAATGGAACCATGGAGAACAAACGTAGTAATCCTCTAACACAGTGGTCTCCAAACTGTGACCCAGGGGCTGGATGCAGCCCTTTGCTTGCATTTATCAGGCCCTTGGGGAAATATTTCACCAACAATGGGGTATAATTTCCCCCCATTGACACCAACAAAGGGGCACAATTTCTCTGAAGGACTCCAACAATGGAGCACAGATCCTCCCAATGATATCATCAATAGGGTATGATTCTACCCACCCAGTGTCACCAACGATGTTGCACATTTCCTCTGACACCAAAAGTGGGGCATTGTTTACTCGCACTGATGCTGGGACATTTTCTACTTACAATGGCCACAGTCCTGCCCCCCTACAGACTGAAGGACAGTAAACTGGCACTTTGTTTAGAAATTTTGGAGACCCCTGCTCTAACAAGAAGTCAGATCACAGTTTGGTGTCACCTTAACTTGACAATGCTCACTCACAGTACTGCAGCATTGCCACCCTAGGCCACTCTCCTGATTTAGACTACAGAACACCTCCCCCTCTCCTCACCTTCAGAATATGGGGGAACAATGTAACTGTAATTTATGAGCTGAAACGATTTCTGACAGGATCAGCATGCATTTTTGTTCTTACTAAAAAGATATAGCACAATAGTTTAAAAGGTAAATTTCACAGACCAAAAAGGGGAGTAAGAAGTCTGCTGAAGGGTTTGGAATACACTTTAAAAAGCTCCCTTATTCAAAGAGAAGGAGAAAAGGAAAAAAAAAAAACAAAAAAAAAAAATCGGCTAACCTAATATGCCACAAGGTCATTTCAGCCAGACAAGCTTTCCTTTTATTCTCCCCTTTAATTACATACTGGAGAGTTCCAAAATCATGTGCATCCAGTAGGCTTGGTTCTGCAGCAGATGCGGCTCTTTCAAGGTCTGAGGATCACAGCTGCCTCCACTATGCCCTAATAGAGCCAAGTCAAGTTATTGTAGCTTCAATATTGCTGCAATCTGGCATCATCTCGTGGTTCTTTTTATAGGCTGGAAAGCATACTTCTGGCCTGAAAGCTCATAATCACAAAGAATTAGGATGGCAGCGAAGCAAAAATAAGACAGAATGAGCAAAAAAAAAAGGAGCAATTAGGTTCCCTACAATGTTCAGCCCCCGTTCTCACAAGTCTTTCAGCTATAAATGTCAGCAAATGCAGACAACAATATTGAGGGCTGATTCACATCATGCCGGCACATGACTCGCACAGGAACACGCTGTGCATTCTTGTGCGATTCACAGCGCATGCAAAGCGCATTCCATTTGCGACCTGCAGTGGGTGTCATTAGAAAGTTAATGACACCCCAAACGCTGGTCCCAGTGTGTCTGCCCGCACCGGATCGCATGGTATTTCTGTGCCATGCAATCCAGCTGCAGTGCGTTTTAAAAAAGTAGTGCATGCACTAATTTTGGTGTGGTGGCAATTTAGCCCATTCAAAATTAATGGACTAAGATCGCACTGCACAGAACTGCATGTGAACCACACAGGAGCTCACAGCACAGGCATGGTGTGAACCCTTAAAGCTATTTTTTTTTTCCGCACAAGAGACAAATGTACACTGAATAGGATGTGCTGCTGGCTGCTCTCTTCATTTCTTTAAGCTTGCAGTGGTAATCTTATGATGCCGGGGGGGGGGGGTTAAGCTAATGGACCTGTCACCGGCACTTATCAGAAGTGCAGACTATGCCCGCCCCTTCTGCCCCCCTCATCCATTCATAGAAGCTGTACTATAGCTTACAACTATGCACTCTATGAATGGAGGATTGGCGAATAAATGAACGTCCCATCTCCTCCATTCATAGAAAATGTCTCTGTGAATTAGGCTCCAACAGTCCTTGAGATATGGAGAAATGATATATGCAGCATGTCTCTGTGGCTCCCCCTACACTACGAGACAAAAAATATGTGGAGACCTGAATGCGGGTGTTTCCAGTGGAGGATACTGTTAATTCAGCATATATAGACATTTTCGACAAAGGGCTCTTCCAACCTTGTGTTGGGATAGCTTGGGGAAGGTCCTTTTCTATTCCAGCACAACGATGCCCTAGTGTACAAAGCCAGCTCCAAAAAAAAAACATGCTTCAAGGATTTGGTGTAGAGGAAGTCCAGTGTCCTGCACAGAGCCCTGAACTCAACTCTACTGAACACCGTTGGGATGAATTGGAATGGCAGGTCTTCTCATCCAACATCAGTACCAGATCTTACAATTGCTCTTTTGTTTAGGTGCAAACACACTCAAAAATTTTGTGGGAAGCCATCTGAGAAGAGTGGTGGTTTTATATTCGCAAAGGGGAAGAAGGGACAATTCCATAATAATGCCCATGGTTTTGGAATGGAACGTACAGCAAGCTCATATAGGTTTGATGATAGGGTGTCTATAAACCTTTGGTTATATAATGAAGTTGAAACCTGACATCCTTTATTTCCCCAACATATCGGAGTCTAAAAAGAACTATAGGCAAACCTTTTTTTCCATTTTGGATCGAGTAAGGGACAGGGAATCCCTGCAAATTAAGGTAATGTCTTGGGGCACCCCAGGTCATCAGAACTATTGTGCCCATTGGAAGAGTAATGCAGGCCATAGACGGGTCGAAAATCGGCCAATTTTTCAGCCGGGAAAAAAAAAAAAAATTAAAATAATCGTCCGATTTTCGGATTGTTAGTGGGTTAATAGGTCAGCCGTTTTTTGGGATTTTGGCACATTTTTTTTTTTTATCGGTAAAGTTGGAAAAAAAAACACCCGATTTTGCCGATCGGATAAAAAATCTGCGCATGAGCCGTGACCTGCAAGAAAAAGAAGAAGAAAAAGAAGAAGAAAAAGAATTCCAGTCCGCTATTATATTTGACATTAAAAAGTATAGCGGTTGCAACATTGTACCTATTTGTATCCGAGTAAAAACATCTGTATCCGAAATGGATACATATAGATACAATGTTGCAACCGCTATACTTTTTAATGTCAGATATAATAGCGGAGCTCTCTGCAGGGACAGAAGTAATACTCCGCTATTATATTTGCCGGCCATAGATGGGACAAAAATCGGCCGTGTTTTTTTTTACTGTTGGTGGTAATGTCAGCCGAATGAACGACCGATTTTTCCTTTTTTTTTATGTAAAAAAAAAAAACGACCGGTTTTCGCCCCATCTATGGCCTGCATTCCTCTATTACTGTTCTGGGGACACACCAAAATGTGGGCTCTTAGGGGCAGTGACAAAATCTCACCTAGATAAGATAGGAGAAAATAGGCGAGAAAAGCATATATAAAGTCCATTGCTAAGAGAGGGAGGGAGAGGAGGCAGGGGAGGCCAACGTCACAGTTAGGATGGAGATCTGCTTTAATGATGGCCATATATGTTGTGGAGCAGCAGTGGGCTTTAACTCTGAGCTGCCACAATACATGCATTCCCTATATATGTTGGGAAAATTCTCATTCAGCTCCCCATGCATAGTGACCATGCTGTCACTGACAGCTCCTGGTCACTGCTTATAATCAGGAGCCGATGGGGCAGGCTCCCAAACTCGTGATCACACTAACAGGAAACCCATGTAAAACTTCAAGTGTAAGCTGGCTCTAAAAGATTAAAAAGATTCCCTTATATTTAGCTTTGTCAAGCTCTCCTCGCTATTCCGTTCCTCTGGTGAAACCAAACCCTGAATAAGCTTTGGATTGAGGTCATCAGTGCTTACACTGAATTGAAGACATAGTCCTGGATTAAAGTGTATATAAAACCCCTAACAATTAACTTCTCTTATTTGATCCGCTTTGGTCTCTTAGATATACCAGTGAAAGCATTTTTACATCTATTTGATAACTGCAAAAAATTCCTGAAGATGGCTGCAGATCTTGTGAGCTGATTATTTCCTGTGTTTTCTGTCTGTGTTGACTGCTCTCTGAGGACTACAGAACCACATCCCTCTATGTCAGCCTTTCTCAACCTTTTCAACAAAGAGGAACCTTTGAAATAACATTCCGGTCTCTGGGAACACACTGCTAAAAAGTACAAGATCTACAACTCATGATACATTAGTGTGATGGTCAGTGGGAAGAATTACTTCCTTACAAATAGCTAAAAAGATCAATGGTGTCAGTGGGATCTTATCTGAAATTTGCTAATTGCTTAACGTCCCTAGCGGTCTGATTATGTCAGTATTTCTGTGCTCAAAGCGGTACTTTTTTTTGCATGGAAATATGCAGTTTTTTTTTATTGTAGGCCTGTAATTTTTAGGAATAACTCACTGAAATCTGTCCGAACAAGAGTCTAGTAAACATCCCGGGTATGATAACATTTGAAACACGAAATCATAAATTATAATATAATAAATATTCATAAAAAATAATAATAATATAATAATAAATTTAATTCAATAATATAAATCAAACCAACACTGAAATTTGAAATAGAGCGCCAAGTTCGCACATCACTGAGCAAAATTGTTTTCAGTGTCTGATGATGAATTTCCCCACGAATCATTATCACTCAATTCTGCAAGTGGTTCTAATTTACTATCTCTGTTCTCTAGCTGGTCTAAAACCGCTTTTGACATAAAGGGACGCTTTTTGGACGCCATGGACTTTTCTCAGTTTCAAGGCAGAAAGAACAGTAAAAATGCAGGCAGGGCACAGGACAAAGCACTAGGGACAAAATGTATGTGAAATGGTTTGATACAGTAATGTTTTACTATGTGATTTTAGTGAATTTAGTGAATGTCACTTTTAAAATTTCCCGCCAGTTCCGTCCCCGTACGTCCTGACGTCGCAGGGAATGGACGCCCCGAAAGACAGATGCCGGCATCAACCAGAGGACATTGCCGGGAACACTGCAGGGGGGACATCGCGGGAGCGCAGGACAAGGTAAGTGCAGAAGAGATCCCGGAGCAATGCTGCAGGGTATTCCCGAGTGTAGCTCAGGGTTACCGCTTGTGGTGCTGAAACTTTACCCCGAGCTACACTCGTGAATACCATCAGGGAGGTTAAGGAATGACTTGCAACCTCTGGAGGAACCCTGGTTGAAAAACCTTTCTCTATGTTATGGACAATAGTGTAGGGTGAGGGAGCGTTGTCATCCTAGGACAGGAAGTATGTTAATGTCTTCAAAGCTTAGAATCTAATGCAGCCACCACATCTAAGGACTGGTAAGTTGAAATATATATTTTTGGGGGTTTTGATATGCTTTAGGAAAAAATGTGTCCTGGGAAAGGCAACAGCTTTGCATCCTCCCCCCTTAAGTTGCATTGAAAGGACTGCAACACCTATCCATGTGCACAGTACGTGCAGTAGATACATTAGGTGAACCAAACAGTACATCTGTCACCATACAGCCAGGTAGTGGGGTTTCTGCTGATCTAACATAGGCAACTATTATACTCATACACTGAAAAGAAAAAATGTAACTGGGTTTTAAAATAATAAGTACTTACCCTTTAAATGTGTGTGCTAGGCTGAGACTCCCTAACAGGCTACTGAACTAATATTAAAGTCAGTAAAATTAAATTCTCCCCAGATTCAAGCCAGATGTCTCCCAGTCGGTAGATTTTGCCTAAGAGTACAAAGAAATTGTCTTCAATTATGATGTTGGGTTGCTGAGGTTTTCTGTTAGATCCCATAACATGTTATCAAGGTAGAGACACCGTGTGCTTCTGCTCTCGGCATCCACATTTTATGAATTAGGTGGAAGGAACATTATACTTAGGGGAGGATTTGTTCTCAGGAAATAAAATACTGATCTACAAGCCTTGAAGGATTCCACATAAGAAGGTCAGGAAGATTGCTGCCTACAGCACAAGACAGCCCTGGAAAACATACCTGCTGCTCTCCAGTGGAGAGTTTAGTGATACTTCTTTAAATAATACTCAGCTAAAGATTTCAACTAAAAACATAATAACTAGCTAGTGCTGCCACCTGAGACTTACATTTTTTGCATTTATCGTGAAGGAGTGTATTCTGATGCTGCCATACTGGAGTAACAATGTACAGTATATGATTGCTTACAGCTACTCTCCAGGCTGCTCATTTCCTCCCCTACCCCTTTCTAACTAATTGTTGGCAAAAAATTTAAAAACAAAACCTAAATGGCCCTTTCACTCACCTAATGGCAACCATAAGCAGCTCAATTTTCTCTCTTTTAACCTGCAGGCTGGATAAGAGAAAATCAATGGATTCATCCATTACACTAAAGCTTGGCCATACAAGAATCAATAATCTACTGGTTCCTGCTGAATTTTAATCCATGTATGGCCGTTCAAGTCCAAGAGGAGTTGATCTAGTGATCGACTCCTCCCGAACAAGACTGCTGGTATATTTTCTCTCGATCAGCACTTGCAGCCAATTGGTGGCAGCGCTGTTCCATGTATTTTGACTTTGGAGAAGTCCCTCTGCCAGAATACAATAGCACAGCAGGGGGATTCCCTCATCCATCTCCAATGTGTGGATTGGTTCAGTTTTTTTTTTTGATCAGCTGGCCAGCTGATCATAAAAAAAACAGACAAAAATAAACCACAACAATCTATCTATGGCCAGCTTAACAAAGGTATTTCCACTGCTTCCCACAGAATACCTGAATGGTGATATCACCTGGGATGAACTAGAAGAGGGCAAGGGGAAAAGGCATGTTACAACAGCAGCTTCCCTGCACTGCTCTGCATGTGGAGGAAAGCAACTCCCTGTGTGCTTTTCTCAAGTTCGACCCACAATTGAGCATCTCTGTAGAAAAAAAGCAAGCCCAAGCTTCATATTAAGGAGATGTTTTTTCATCTTTATTCTATTATTTACTGCTGTTTGCGAATTGTGGTTATATCTACAGCTTGATGATCAGATCCCATGTTCCATGAGTTATAGATCTGAAAAGGTTTTTCAGGGGTTCCGCGAGATCTCAAGCTTATTGCCAAGCGTTCCCCCAAAGTAAAAGGTTGAGAAACCCAACTTTAGAGCAGTGTTTCTCAACCCTTTTTTCATTCAAGGCATCCTTTGAAATTTGTGGACAGTCCCGAGGCACACTTTGAAATTATGGACAGTCTCGAGGCACCCTTTGAAATTATGGACAGTCTCGAGGCACCCTTTGAAATTATGGACAGTCCCGAGGCACCCTTTGAAATTATGGACAGTCCCGAGGCACCCTTTGAAATTATGGACAGTCCCGAGGCACCCTTTGAAAATTATGGACAGTTCCCGAGGCACCCTTTGAAATTATGGACAGTCCCGAGGCACCCTTTGAAATTATGGACAGTCCCGAGCACCTTTGAAATTATGGACAGTCCCGAGGCACCCTTTGAAATTATGGACAGTCCCGAGGCACCCTTTGAAATTATGGACAGTCCGAGGCACCCTTTGAAATTATGGACAGTCTCGAGGCACCCTTTGAAATTATGGACAGTCCCGAGGCACCCTTTGAAATTATGGACAGTCCCGAGGCACCCTTTGAAATTATGGACAGTCCCGAGGCACCCTTTGAAATTATGGACAGTCCCGAGGCACCCTTTGAAATTATGGACAGTCCCGAGGCACCCTTTCAAATTATGGACAGTCCCGAGGCACCCTTTCAAATTATGGACAATCTTGAGGCACCCCATTCTAAAATGTGTAAAATTATTCCAAAAGTTTTATATAACACAGCAACATCCACATATGTAGGACACCCAACATTAGAGGTGATTTATTCTTCCAAAACAAATACACTTTTGCACACTGGTACTGACTAGTATTCCAGTGTTTTTCCTCTCCCTCAGTTTTTCTCTATCAGTGACACTAGTACTAACTGAGAGGGGCAGGGAGGGTCAAACTAGGATGCTGTGCAGGCAGCTGACATCCTCATCAACTGATGTCATTGGTTGTCAGGACACTGGTGGGTAGAAGGCTGTAATGGAGCACAATAAAAACCTTTGACTTTGTGTAACTAAAAGGCAGGCTTGTTTCACCTGCTGGCTTGTACACAATTTTTGGGGAATTTTTAGACATTTTGCCAAGGCACCCCTGAAGAAACCTCAAGCAACCCTGGTTCAGAAAGGATGCTTTAGAGAATAAAAAAAAAAAAAAAAAAAAGTACCAAAAGTGGAGATTTTTGATCCAAATTCTACCGATGGATGGCCAGCTCTTGGCAGTTGGACCTAGCTCCAAGTCTTTTTTATATTTATGGCTAGCTTTACTTAGGATAGATTAAACCTGAATCCATCTGGTAGCACCAGATGTCCAAGAGTGAATATTGATCACAAGCTGCCTGATTTGTAAAAGAAAAAAAAAATTAATCCAGACTTTTAATAACTCACAGTAACCAATTTGACAACAACATTCGAGAGATGTCACACTGTATGGTTTTCAAACATTTCTAATTGGTTGGCAAGATTTTTTTACAGTTTTTTTGCTAGATTGTATTATTAAATAAGCCCATACAAAAACAGGGTGGTCCCCTACCAATACCAGGAGGAATAAACAGCTCCAAGATAGGTTCCAAGGCCTTTAATTTTACTCTTAGCCTGATTGCTATGTGAACCCAACCACACAATGCACTCACAGAGGAGTAATATTACAAGTCTGATTTACCACTCTGTCTAATCACTGCAACAATGATGAACAATACTGTGGTCATGCTGGGTGCATTTTCTTTAAAAACGTCTAATTTCCCTTCTGTGAAGGAGCACAAGTTGTGATTACACAGTGACAACCCACGGGGCTGCTCTGCGTTACACATTACTGAGGACGACACAGACACAGAAAACGCTGAGGAAGTCAAAATCCCACTCTGGCAGCGGTTCATCTATGAGATGGTCTGCAGAAAAATGTGCTAAATATGATGTAAAGGCAATAATGGAAAAAAACGGGAAAAGTCTGATTATATGCGTTAATGAAAAAACCTCATACAATAAAAGCTGGCCATACACTAGTAGATTCTACAAGGAAAAATCGTAGAAATATTTGTCTGAAAATTCTCATTGGTACATTTGATAACATATCGATAGTCTTTCAAAGTACTCCAAATATTGTTTGCGTTTATTATTATTATACAGGATTTACATAGTGCCAACAGTTTGCTCAGCGCTTTACAATATAAATTATCATTTGATTTAGCTGTGAATGGACTTTCCTGAACCAAGACCATATTTGCGGTCAGAAATGCAATCAGTCATGAACAATTTCCCATCCGGCTCCTTCATTTACTTGCCACTGCAGTTGGAAACAAATGTTTATTTGAACCTATCAACCATTAGAAACACAAAACAAATGTTATACAATTGAACATTCTATAATGAAATTCTACTAGTGTATAGCCAGCTTAATTATCTAATGTCAGCCAGTTAAATGGAATGATGAGAAGGAATCGTACACTTGGATCCATGTCTCTGATTGGGCGAGGCTCCCTAGTAATCCTAATGTGAGAAATGTAGAAGAGATCCAGTGACTGTACATGAGGGATCGTCTCAACTGAACATATTTAACACTCCTAAATGCTTTGAAAATGTGCAATGTGATGTTTCTATTTAAGCGGTTGCAAATGATTTTTGAACATGTGTGTGAGTGCCCTTGGGCTGGGGACTTGGAAGGTTGCCCCATGATGCTACACTCAGGGCTCATTCACATTGGTGGTGCTTTCTGACCTCACACATGATTAAGCCTTTAAGTGTTACTAAACCCCGGACCCAGCATTCATTATATCTGGTCTCCCCGGACCCTGCATTCACTATATCTGGTCTCCCCGGACCCTGCATTTATACTGGTCTCCCAGGACTCTGCATTCACTATATCTGGTCTCCCACAGTGCACACAACATGGAAATGCAATTATTTTAGTAAATATAAACTAAATACCTTTTCTCATCAGCAGTATATAGCAGCCTTGTGCCGTCTATCAGTGTCCAGCAGAGCACTGATTAAAGCTTGGAGGAGGAGTTTTCATTCTCCTCTCACTGTCCTATGAGGCTGCATTACCCCCGTCCCTTTGTGTGGACAGCGCTGATTGGCCCTGTGCTGATCACATCCACTCTCTTTAGAAAAAATAAAAAAACTCTCTAGCAATACACACCAAACTGAGCATGTGCAGCTTGTCCCCCAAGGCTCTGTTCTATCAGCAGATGGATTGGGGACAGTAGAAGAAGGGGAGGATCAGATGGATTGGGACAGTAGAAGAAGGGAAGAATCAGATGGATTGGGGACAGTAGAAGAAGGGGAGGATCAGAGAAGAGGGATCAAACAGCCTTTTATACACAATGCAGAGGATTAACCCCTTAGGTTTCACAGCGAGTATAACAAGCATGCTTTACTGCATATACAGACTGATTTTACTGTGGCGTGTTTAGTAACACTTTAATGGTTAGTCAATGACTGTTTTGGACTGTAGTAGAGCTTTTGACAGGCAGTGAGGAGGCATTGTGTCACTTCCTCACCTCCTGCTTTTAATTGCTGCACTAGCACACCAAAAGCGCACTCGTTGTAGGCAGTGTATGGGGTGCTTTCAGAGTATCCCCATTCACCTGAATGGGTAATGATCGCAGCCTCCACACCTTCCAAATCAACCAAATAGACTGGGGGTATATTTTTCCTGCAACCGCCATCTCTGCAACCAAAGGGAGTAGCAGTCGGGGGGGGGTAGGGCAGTAAAGGCGCAGCTCAACTGTGGGGTTTTACACTCCCCAACCTCATGTGTAAACGAGCCCATGAAGCTGAAATTTAGATATGGCTTTTTTTGCAGAGTTACATTGGTTCTGCTTGGACCTATGTAAATATTCATGTGCCATATCTGTGGGATCCGAATGGAAGCTGGAAATGACTGTAGTGGGTGCAGCTATTGCAGCAATTCCTTCCTGCTCCCACAACCTCCCACAAGTCACGAAAAAAGGCGGAATGGTTTATTGGAGGTTCGGTAGGGAGCTTGGAGTGTCTTTGGCGGGGTCATGCACTTGGGGGATCCTTCTGTGGGTATTGATGGGAATGCGCAGTTGGTGTATTGTGATGTGAGTGACTTTCTATTGGAGATAGATTTTTGAAGGGCAGTATTGCACTACATTTGTGTTTTGGGTAGGACTATGTGGATCCTCATGTGGGACAATCGTTGAGGTACTGGACACAAGGAAACACAGAGCTGAGCAGCACAGTGGCTAAATGGTTAGCACTTCCGCCTGGCAGTACTAGGGTTGCTGGTTCAAATCCCAACCCCGGCACCACCTGCCTGGAGTTTGCATGTTCTCCCTGTAACTGTGTGGGTTTCCTCCAGGGTGCTCCGGTTTCCTCCAACACTCCAAAGACATGTTGGTGGTTAATTGGCTCCTGTCTACATTGGCCCTAGTATGTGTATATGTATGAATGGGAGTTAGGGACTTTAGATTGTATGCTCCTTGAGGGTTAGGGACTGACTGATGTGAATGTACAATATATGTATGTAAAGTGCTGCGTAAATTGACGGTGCTATATATAAGTACTTGAAATAAATATTCATGTGCCATATCTGTGGGATCCGTATGGAAGCTGGAAATGACTGTAGCGGGTGCAGCTACTGCAGCAATTACCGCTAGCTTCCTGCTCCCACAACCCCTTGCCACCATTCAGAGAACACTTTCCACTCTCTCAATGAATGCAAACCGTTTTCTAAATGGATGGGGTGGAGAGGAGGGGGCGGTGGTGTCATGATCTCCACTTTGTCCTATCCGTGAATGCCTTGCATTCATTGAGAAAAATGCAAGGTGCTCTGAATGGGACAATGGGGCTCGTCCTGATAAAGCGCCCTCCTCTTCTCTACAAACCAGGACAGCCACTGGTTACAGGACCCAGAATCTGGTGCAGCTACTAAAGTGGTTTCCAGTGTCTTCAGGGATCAGCCAGGTATGGTGTATGCACAGTTATATTGGTCCAAGCTGAGCCAATGTAACTATGAAAAAAAGCCAAACCTAAACTTGAAATTTAGGGGCTCATTCAGACGTAAGGTTGGGGGGCCATAAACCCCTCAGTTGAGCTACGCTTTAAAAGCCAAACTTTTTACGAAGTAAAATCTGTAAGTACTGTGCCTATCAATTGCAGTATCACATCTGTACGAGGCAACAACGGGAGAGACCAGTATTGGAAACTCAAACCTAAATGCAAAAATATGCATCAAGACACTAAATCCCGGGGAGGTCGGGGGGGTAAAAACATGTAGTTGAGCTGTAGCTCCTAGATTGTAAGCTCCAAGGAGCAGGCCCTCCTGTCCCCTTTGTATTGAACTGTATTGTTGCTGTATTGTCTCCCGTTATATTGTAAAGCGCTGAGCATACTGTTGGTGCAATATAAATCCTGTATTATAATAATAATAATAATAATAGTTTACCCTCTCTGCCCCCCCCCCCAGCCGCCCACCTAAAGTAAAGCCTACTATACAGCCAGAGGTAGCTGTTCACATGCCAGAGCCAAGATGCTTCCCATTTAAAGTGACATACTGAGCAGACAGGCGGCACTATCTCTCAAACTCATCCATTCACATCAATAGGGGCAGCATCATAGCCACAAGGTGAGCAAATCCCAGGCACGATCACCTTCTGAATGCCAGACGATGGCTGCTTAGCTGCACTCTGAAAAGTGATCCACTGTGGATTGCTTTTCAGAGAATCAGAAAGTACGATCCTAGCCCTAGAGTAACCTCTTTTACTAGTTAATCTATAAAATCTCTGCATTTAGTACAGTAACAAATACAGGAAAGAGCAAACTTACAAAAATGTGAAAGTTTTATAAAAATGAAACAATGCAATAATACCTCAAATCCCACCACGCTTTCCCCGAGCAAGCAACGTCCGCCACCTAAATCTAGACATAAATACTTTTCAAACTGCATGACAATCAATGCAGAACATCAAAGGGCCTCTTATCTCGGGAAACATGTCTGAAAATGCAGCGACAGGTTTCTGTACTCATCCGTACTGTGGGAATTCTCACTCTTCCCTGGTGATAACAGACATCATTCCTTCCACACTGTTTGTACAGGAAAGCTAGAGCCCAGCACTGCATACAAGGTCTGGGCCTCTATTTCAGGGCCTTTCCATTGTAATTATTATTATATACAGAATTTATATAGCGCCAACAGTTTGCTCTGCACTTTACAATATAAAGGAGAGCACAATACAGTTCAATACAAGAGGGTTAGGAGGGCCCTGATCCTCGGAGCTTACAATCTGTAATGACCATCTTTACTACTTAAGGCCTAACTAAACCCAAGAACAAAAATGTAATTTACTGCAGATAACCAGTCCTCAGATGCGGGAGCTGCATTTGTTTTCTTTTTTCAAACTAAGAATATTTTCAGCAAGTACAGAACTCCCCAGAAATGCAGTGTCCTTGTCACCTCCTGTGAGCTAAAAAAGTATCATCATACTTTAAAGTGACACCAAGCGATATCCTTATTCTCCAAAAACAACCTGAAAAATATTACTGACTTTATGGATCGATTGCACTTGCTTTACTGCATCCGAATGCCTGTTTTTTTTTAAGGACTTTTTGACAGCCAAACAGGCTTTTTGAATGGGAATATGACACCGCAAGTGCAATCCTATGGAGTCACTCTTGCATGCAGGGAATAGAGCTGTCTATCCCTATACTGTGTGCATCAATAGAAACACAAAGCCCCATAGCGTAGGATGGCAAGGCACTCCCCTGCTCCTCCTCCTTCCTTCTCCAAGCTAACAGACACACTTCACTGTCTTTTCTATGAAGACCAGAAGTTCAGGAAGAATCACTCAGAGAGCAGGAGCCATCAGCACTGAAAGTTGTAAACTGCAAGTGCCAGAATACAAATTCTAACAGTGTACCAGGGATTGTGTATTTTCTTATGCTCAATGTGTTAACCACTTGCCCTCCTGAGGATTCACCCCCCTTCCTGGCCAGGCCATTTCATGCGATACAGTGCTGCGTTACTTTAACTGACAATTGCACGGTCATGCAACTCTGCACCCAAATGAAATTGACGTCCTTTTTATCCCACAAATGAAGCTTTCTTTTGGTGGTATTTGATTGCCTGGGTTTTTTTTTTTTTTTTGCGCTATAAACCATTGTGAGAAAAAAAAAAAACAATATTTTTGACTTTTTGCTATTAAACATGTCCAGTGAAAAAAATAAAAAAAAAACAAATTTCGCATTAATTTAGGCCAAAATGTATTCCGCTACATGGCTTTGTTTAAAAAAATCCCAATATGTGTAAATGAATTGGTTTACACGAGAGTTATATTGTTTACAAATGGTGATATATATACTGGGATTACTTTTTTTTTTCTTTTTCACTAGTAATGGCGGCGATCAGCGACTTATAGCTGGACTGCAGCGGGCATTCTGACACTGGGGGGGAAGTGACTTGGTGTCACTGACATCCCCAGTGACACCAATACTGTGATCATGCTAATAAAAAGCACTGACACTGTACTAATGGCACTGGGCAGGTAGGGGTTAACATGTGGGGCGATCAAAGGGTTAACTGCGTGCTATTTTACTGTGTGCTGTGTGTGCAGTTTACACTGTAAGCACATTGCTTTGTATGGGTCTGCAGCAGAGCCATACAAAGCAGTGTGCAGAAGCTGACAGGGGAGAAAGCCGTGTTGTTTATACACAGGTCCCTTACCCATCGGAGATACATGGCAATCACTGGGTGTCGGTGGGAAATCACTGTCCGGGACCCGGTGATGGACAAAATGTTTTCTGCTATATCTTTGCTAAAAAAAAAAAAAAATCCCAATACGTGTAAATTAATTGGTTTATGTGAAAGTTATAGCGTTTATAAATGCTGGTATATATACTGGAATTAAAAAAAAAAATTTTTTAACTAGTAATTGTGGCGATCAGTGACTTCTAGCAGGACTGCGGCAGGCATTCTAACACTGGGGGGAACTGACTTGATGTCACTGACATCCCCAGTGACACCAATACAGTGATCAGTACTAATAAAAAGCACTGACACTGTACTATTGGCACTGGGCAGGAAGGGGTTAACATGTGGGGCGATCAAAGGGTTAACTGTGTGCTGTTTTACTGTGTGTGTGTGCTTTCCACTGTAGCACACTGCTTTGTACGGCTCTGCTATGCAGAGCCGTACAAAGCAGTGTGCAGGAGCTGACAGAGGAGAGATCTGTGTTGTTTATACACAGTTCCCTCCCCCGTCAGAGATACTTGGCAATCACCGGGTGCCAGTGGGAAATCAGCGGCCGGGACCCGGTAATTGACAGATGAGGCCGCAAATGGCGGCACGGGTAGGGGCGCGCTCGCAACCCCCATCCAGAACTGCAAAGAACGTATATATATTGTCTTGGAAATTCGCTTTAATGAATTTCTCCTTACCGCGAGTACTCGCAGTTGGATGCGCAGAAATCCCCCATAAAGCTGTGCAAATCTCGCTTACCACAACTGCAGCTAAACTACACAATTCCGGCCCCTCCAACTGCTTTAGCTTCTGTTGAGATGTGGGTGATTGGAGCTCCGTTACCCAGGAATGATCACACGACACTCTCAGGATGATGTTGGAATTCACATAGAGACCGGCTTCAGACTCAGCCCCCGGTTTTATTACAAGCACATACACGCCCCCCACATGAATAAGGTCAATCCCCTCCCACCGAACAATGCAATGGGGAGTGCCTATACACAGGATATACATTCCGATTGGAGCATAGCCTTTCCTATTATCTATCACTGGTCCTCCCCCATGAGCCCTCTGAGGTCAGCAGACTTCCTCCCCTTCCCCCCCTGAGCCCTCTATGGAGAGCATACTTCCTGTCCTACTAGCTCCTATTGGTATGCAAATTCCTTGTACAAGCATTCCCTAGAAACATCAGTCTGTACCTGGATGGGCCCGATACGATCTTTATTAAAACACATCCATCCAGATACAGTTCAGGTCGGTAATGGATTGTAAGATATGCATAAGCCTACACGCGGAGTTCGTACCGCTTGGCGCCTTGCGTTATGAAGTCCATGTGGTACTATGCTGCTGATATGTGGATACAGGCCCGCGGCCTACCGCCGGCGGCATTCGCATGGAATGCCGTGGTGGTATACACGCCGGTCTATAAGCGCAGATCTGCCATCTCATCCATTACCAAGCTGAGTACTGTAATACATACATTGTACATGCGCATGGCCCAATTGCAGCCTTCAGAGCTTTAATTAAGCCACAGGAGAGACATATGAATAACACTCATATATGACACATTGAAAGTTCAACCAACAATACAAAATTTCCATGACAATATATACACGTGATACTGCAAACCCGCGCCGCCCTGTAGCAGTATTTCTGCTATAGGGTGGCACGGAAACGGTTTAAACTAAAAGACACAGGGGGGGTGATTTACTAAAGGCAAATGACTGTGCACCATACAAGGTGCAGGCGCACTCTGCAAGCCCAATTGCTCCAGAGTTTTGTAAATGAGACACAGATTCACTTTGCAAGGAACACCCAATCGTGTGCAAGGAAAATTGAAAAAAAAAAAAAAAGCACTTTGGCTTGCACATGATTGGAGGATGGAGCTTCTGCTCATTTGCCAATCCCTGGAGCAACTGCTCTTGCAGAATGCAGCAGCACTTTGCAAAGTGCACAGTCTATTTGCTCTCAGTCAACCAACCCCACAACTTCATTAGACCCCTCTACTGCATTAGAATGATGCACACGTTTACAGACAAGAGAGCATTTTCTGTAATCACGCTGTTCTCTCCAGTTACTTCACTGGTAATTGAAGTCAGATTTACCAAGCGCACCCTGGGATGTGAGAGCAGACATCCCAGCAGGGAGTTCTCATTAAATCCACTGGGGAGGGGGGGAAAATAAGGAAGCACATTTTGTTCTATTTTTATGTGGGACAGGACAAATCTAATAGAGGCAAATGGACATTTTGTAACCACTTCAAGTCCGGACACTTTTACCCCCTTCCTGTCCAGACCAATTCTCAGCTTTCAGTGCTATCACACTTTGAGTGACAATTGCACGGTCATGCAACATTGTACCCATATGAATTTTTTAGCATTTTTTTGAGACAGATAAAGCTTTATTGTGGTGGTATTTATTCACCACTGAGATTTTTTTTTTTTTTTTGCTATGTAAATGAAAAAGTTTAAAAATTTTGAAAAGAAGTGTTTTTTCTTATACATTTTGCAAATAAATAATATTTCATCATAAATCTTGGCCAAAATGTATTCCATTATCTTTTTAGTAAAAAAAAAAAAAAAAACCCAAAATTAGTTTATAACCAAAAATTATAATTTTTAAACATTTTTATTTGTTTATATTATTATTTATGTTTTGTTTTTTTTACATACTGTGGTGACACTGTACTACTTGTGGGGGGGTGATAAAGATTTTTTTTTTACACTGATTGCTTTTACACCCATAAAGGCTGTAAAAGCAATCATTTCTCCTTCTCCCTGGCTGCATTCTTGCAGCCATTGAGAACTACTGTGTGAGCTGTGATTGGTCACAGCTTGTCACATGGTACAAGGCTGTTGTGAATAGCCTTGTACCATGTGATCTCTGTGATCATTCCCAGATTTCACACGTAGTAAGCAATGATGTCACAAGTGACATCTTGCTTACTACTCTGCATGTGATCACTGATTGGCCAATCAGTGATCACATGATTGGGACCTCACACAGAGGTCCCGCACGACTATCGGTGTTTTTCACTGTGTCCGGAGGACACCGTGGGCACCGGATCGCGGAGCTGCGCACTCCCATTATAAACGGCCACCTGACCCTGCACTGCCATTGTACGTCCGTTTATATACAACGGCCAGACGGGAGGTGGTTAAAGAGGTAAAAAAGAGCACAAAAAAAGGAAAGGTTACAAGTCACAGTAAAGGACATAAATTTAATTTGTGTACAGTGTACATTGTTGCATGACAGCGCGATTGTCAGTTAAAATAACGCAGCACCGTATCACATAAAATAGCCTGGTCATGAAGAGAGGTAAATCTTCAGGAGGGCAAGTGTTTAAATTACCTGCCATGCAACATAGGCCAATACCTTAATCTGGCCATAGATGGATCGGAATTCAGACGGATCAGCAGGAACTGGAGAAATTTTGATCCATCTATGGATAGGGGGGAAATTGTTCGCTGGGCAGAGACTCCATTCAGAGAACGCTTTGTATTTTCTTAATGAATGCAAAGCACTCTTTGATTAGACAAGGTGGAGAAGCAGTAATGTCATGATCTCCACCTCATCCAATTAGAGTAAGCCTTGCATTCTTTGAGAAAAATACAAGCCGTTCTCTGAATAGTGCCCATGCAACAAGCGACTGCTTGTGGTTACTTTGCAGCAGGGCAGCAAAATCCAGAAGACAGCAAGAATCACTGTAGAAGAGCCAACCCCTACAACGAATTTCTGCTTCCACATGGATCGGCCAGGTATGGAATATGCGCACTTACATAGGTCCAAACTGGACTAATGTAACAATGCAAAAGGAAATTAAAAAAAAAAAAAACAAAAAAACTCAAATTAAACTTTAAAATCATTTAAATAGAAAAAACTGCATACAGCACTGCACTAAATGCTTAGAGCTTTTGAACTGGAGACAGAACTTCTGGAATAATGTGTAAGAGTGATAACATAATCTTCATAGCTGCAATATGAGATCATCTGATTTAGCCCGCACAAATGGCAGATTTGTCATACAGTAACATCAGAGAGAAAACACTGACATTCCAAGATAAATCTTCACCATTCCTTCCCCACTGCCTTGTGTTTGCAGCTGCTAACCAGTTGGATTTATAAAGGGAACCCATGACTGCCATCTCCAGCACAGCCCGGGGGCAGCTGTTCCATCAGAACCTGTACTGTCCTCATTCTGTACACAACGACTCTCTACAGTCACATGCCAGACCGAAGGCAGCACATGACGGTTCCTACCATTAACACCATGTCTATGTATCAACACGCCGACAGATCAACTCTAGCCTGAGCACTCACTGATGAGTCCCATGGCAAATCTGGCTTCACGTCTGGGTCAAAAGCGCTTAAATATTTTCCAGGAGCTGATAACCTAAGCCCCATAATTTATTATTTTTCAGGATTTATTATAGCACCAGCAGTATGCGAGGAGCTTTACAAAACAAAGGGAGACAGTACAGTTAAAATACATTCAAAAGCAAGAGGGTTAGGAGGACCCTGCTTTTAAGAGCTTACAATCTAAAAAGCGGGGCAACTGATACAAAAGGTGAGCGATGAGCAGATGGAGCAAAGAAAATCTGCAGTTGTTAAGTAAACATTAGTTTTCAGGGATCGCCTAAAAGTGGACAGAGTATGAGATAGAAGGAAAGATTGGGTAGTGCAGCAATTCTCAACCAGGGTTTTGTGGAACCCTACGGTTCCTCCAGAGGTTGTTAGGCGTTCCTTGAGCACACAGCAGCCTCTGCGATAATAAGCAATTTGTAGGGGGATTCTTCCCAATGACCACAAATATAAGGAGCATTCACCATAGTGACCACCATACTAATGTACAGTGAACTGTAGACATAGTATTTATTAGAAGCAGTTGCCTGAGACTGGAAAGTTATTTTAAAGGTTCCTCAACGTTAAAATGATTGAGAAAGACTGAGGTAGATAACTCCAGAGGATGGGAGAGGCTCTGGGGAAGTCCTGTTGGTGACCATGGGAGGAGGTGACAGAGCCATTAGTAGTGCAGGAGGTCTTGGAAGGAGCGAAGAGAGACAAGGTTGATGATGCAAGCGGGGCTGTGGATGATGTTGTTTTAAATTTTATTTGTTGGGCAAGCAGAAGCCAGATGGGGGATTGGCAGAGAGGAGTGGGGGGCAACTGAGCGGTGTATATATTTTACTTTTTTTGTTCCTAGATAAAATCATACTGGAACCAATAATCTTATCAATATTTAAACCATATACATGTATAGAAGAGCATCCATATTTGCTGATTTCGTACACAGATTCTGCTACCTCATTTGTAGGTTGACACGATAGTCATGCCTTACTGCTCCTTCTCATAGTGCAAGCCTACGAGTCAGCCAAAACCATGTATTCCCTTGTGTGGAAGATACCCTCTACACCACTGAGACCTCCCTGGGCTGCCTCTAATGACAAATGAACCAATGGTAACATATGACAAGAATATGTTGCACATCAATGCCAAAGGCACCAGTATGTAAACACTGTCACTCCACTTGCTGGGCATTATATGGCTACACAAATAGAATATCCCCCCCCTTCATTACCGTACCCCAACAGGTGTCCTCAGCTGAGTCTGATGCCCTGCAGCCCTGGGTAGGTTCTAAGGCCTCATTCAGACAGGCGAATGAGAGCAGATAGTTTGCTGTGTTTGGAGGTGGCTAAACAAAGCATGCAACTGCATTCTGTACTATGACCACATACTAACTGGCCATGTAGCTGCATCTAGAAATGCCACCAATGGATGCACACTGTCTGCATCTAGGGTTGGTCAGAACAGTTACACGTGATATGTACAAATACGGACAATTACCACGGCTGTTCACACACGCGACATATAGCCGATTCTCCCCTCCAATTTGTAAATATGCCCTAAATGCTGCATAAAGCAAAAACACATTATTACTGCCAACATTTCATACAATGTAAATAAGTCATTATCAAATGTGTGCTAACAAATGACAGCCCAATGGCATGAATTAGGCAAGAGCATTTCTCCAATACAGTAAACAACTTATGGGCCTTAATATACAATCCATATAAAAATGTAAAGCAAAGCAGGTAAGCATCAGCAAATTGGAGGCCGCCATTTAAGACCCCCCCCCCCCCGGTCTAATGGCTTTCACAATTCACAAGTCACTGGCCATTTCAGGTAGGTCATCCAGAAAGTTCAGAGGAACAGACAACTGCTTGATATCTGCCATAGTTCAGTAGTGACAGGCCTTTTTAAAGAAGGCTTTTCTCGAGAGCCTTCTTTAAAAACAACTTCGTAACTGTAGAAGGATTGCATTTATGAACAAATGAATATTTTAAATATTTCCCAGGAGCAATTCTAGAGCAAATACACAAAAATCTGCAAAACCTCCGAGACCAAAACAAGAGAAGGCAGAAGACTGCCAGACAACACTAGATGATATCAGTGTTGATCCATGAAATCTATAAATTATCAGTTTATGTACACTTGTTACTTCAACGTTTATTCCTCTCTAAAAAGTACAAAATGTTCCCCAAAAAGAACGAGATATTTACCATGAGTTTTGCACGGAGTTATACGCAACTGCTTCATTCTTTTCACTTTCCTCCTCTGGTATAAAGGCTTCTCTTTAAATGCCCTCTGTTCTACTGCAGTTCATCGTCTATTTATATGCCATAATCACAGGTTCCCTTTGTGAACTTCTTCTGTAGATAAAACATTTCCTGAATTGTAAACCTTCTGCAGATGTTTCTTCACCAGACGCAGATCAGTCTTTCCTTACTTGGGAATAATATGCTTTAGTATTATTGCAAAGGGTCTCAACGGCTGGGGTAAGGGGGGTTGGGGAAGATTGAGTAAGGTAAAGAAGACATAAGGAGCCATCCACCACTACTATGACCTAACAGTGGACCCACAACTACTACAGAACTTAAAGTGGATCTAAGGCTTACTTTAAAGCTGAATTCCATGCAGCTAAATACACAGATGAAATACATACTGTATACAAAAGCTTTTTTTTTTTAGCCTGTGCTAGGGAGGGGGGGGGGGCAGATGGTGGGACCATGTAAATTGAATGCACAGCATAAGCCAGCAGGCCAGGATCTTGTACAACAAAAAAATGTACTTAAATCTTCCATGTCAAAATCATACCAACAATTCAAGGACACAGGGGACTCTTTAACAAGGTGACACAGCATGATAGTATGCAATGAAAATATATATCAGGAGCTTTCCTCGATATCTTGTGGCTTATGTGGGACCACCAACTGCTGTAACCCAAGTCTACTGGGAAACCTTGTTGGTCAAGCTTATAAAAATCCATTTCTGATCAATGGCTCTAGGCTTTGTTGCTTACTTAACTTACTATTCTATAAAGCACATTAAATATAATATGACTGTGAATATAGTCATGTATTTATAAATTTGGCAAAGGCTGATCCGGATATGGTGCTGACTTACACCTCCAGTCCAAGAAAGATTTCCTGGATGAATCAACGTTCAGAGAGCCAGTCTCTCTAAAAATAATGATTTAGACTGAGGTCATTGTATATAAAATAAAAGAACAATTCTGAAAATGAATATTTTCCTGCAAAGTTATACCAGTGGTTGAAGCGAGTCATTATTAGCCACTATCACTACATTGGAAGCGTCCACTGAGTTTCCTTCCTGGAATAGTATAATGCTGCAGGTGTTCCAAGAGACCGAGTTCCAACCCAACTGAGCAGCTGCAACATAAAACTTCATAAGGAGGCACGAGCCATAAAGACTCATGAGACGCTGGTTGGAGAACACTATACTACAAAATATATTGGCAAATTAACCAAAAGATAAAGGGCAGAAATTAGGGCTTTCCCTTTAAGAGGCCAGAAGAAAAGATAGGTTGCTAGCACAGCATGGATCCGTAACATATAGTCCAAACATATACTAAAGCCAAAACTTTACAATAAGTTTAAAATTTCGAAGCCAAGCAAATCCATGGCATAG